GCTCATCGGCGAGGAGCTCACGCAACACGGTCGAGGTACAGGTCAGCGCTTTGTCGCCCCGTGATTCGATATCCGTACGTGATGGCGGTGGTGCGGAGTGGGACGGTCGGTTCATTTCCTCATTGTGGGGTCCTTCCCGACTGCAGCTGGGTTGGTACCCCAGGGCGAGTAGGCATGAAGGCCCCATGGGACTTATGGACCACGCGGCCTCGCCACCGCCTGGAAAGTCAAGGTGGCTCCAGCGTCGCGGGCGTAGCTGAGCGCCACGGGAGGAAGATGGGCTCCGACCTCGAATCGTCTCCCCCCTTCAAGCGGCGGAGGACATATCTCACGGAGGGTCATTCTCGTTCCCCTCTCTCCCTTGTGCGGTCTCCCCACGATCCCTCTCCTCCTGCCCCATCTTTCTCTGTGTTCTGGAGATTTAGTGTTCCATTGCGTTCTTGAGCGTTGATATCTATTGTAAATATAGTTCCTGTTTTGCTGGTTGCTGTCCGAGTGCGGGAGTGCGTGCGTGCCCTTCCCCGGCCGTGCCCAAGGAAAAAACACGTTCCGTTGGTGCATGTCTCGTTTCGTTCCCGCCTCGTGCTCCCAACCGCTCGCTTAGCTCGCCCTTTTCACATGGGGCTATACAACTGGGTTCGAACGCTTCCGCCACACGCGTGGATGCAATTTAAGTAGCGCCCCCCGCCGCATTCGACGCGATCGTGTTGCACTCCCCCGGGGGAGTTTCAAGCGTGAGGACGAGAGCAAACACGCGTGCATCGCAATGGGATGGGCCGCGTGCTACTAGCACGAGCAACGGTTTGTGGATTTCGGGCCCAGGGCACCTTGCCCCTGATGGTCGGCTTTACATGGGCCCCAGTCCAATCCAGTCAACTTCCCTCATCCCCACCCCCTTCTTTCTCATCCACCGCGCTCTTCCAATCTGCCGTGTGCCGTTTCCCTTGTCAGGCTCCCAATGAGAAGCGGGCCGTGTCGGAGGTTGGGTGTCGAAATCGAGGTGGCCCCAGCAGGCACATCGGTTGTGATTTCAGTTCCGTTTGCGCGTGTTGGCGAGGCGGAGCTGCGCCAGGGTTCCTTCGTTTGTGCCGTGGGATGTCCCGTGGTTGTTTGGTGTTTGTCTTGTGAGTTCTCCCCTGGTTTCCCCGTGGACTGTCCCACGGGTGGTTATGTGGTTGCCCCGCGGTTGTCTTGTGGGTTGTCCCGTGATTGTTCCGTGGTTGGGTTGTTCCGCGTTCTTCTCACGGGACAGACGCTGAGACCGATGGAAGGATCTGCACATATGAATTCACATCCGACTGCACGTCCAAGTAAACTTAAAGACGCAGTGCTTGCAACCGGGGGCTCCAATCAGTGAGTTGGTGCCTTGGATTTGCTGCAAGCTGCGTTGTCAAAACAATGTGTTGCACGCTCTGTGCATTTTTTGTATTGTTTATCGCATGTCCATGTCCTCTTCACGTCTGGCTGGAACTCCGGGGGTTGCCCTCGGAAGCGACTCGTGCCCTCGGGTCTCGGGTGTCCTCTGCAATCGGTCTGAGTTGTACGCGAGCTTGGCGACCCCATCGCTTTGTCCTGTCCACACCGCTTTCGGGAGGTCCTTGGAGGTCCCCAGAGGCTTCTGGAGGCCCCAGATGCCGAACGGAAGCGTATCCAAGAGCTCCCCAGAACCTCTGTTCTCGATCCTCTTTCTGGTCCTCTTCAGTCCTCGACTTTCGAGGATGGGCATGAGGAGGGACGAGGGGAGGATGAGGGAGGAGGAGGTTGAGGAGGAGGAGGAGGAGGCGGAGGAGGAGGAGGAGGAGGAGGAGGAGCAGGAGGAGGAGGAAAAGGGAGGGCGCGGCCAGGTTCTGGCCAGGCTCTCGAAGAGGCTCCTCCCTTTTAAGAGGCTTGACAGGCCAGACGTGTCGGGAGAGGCTGATGGGTAGCCCACCCTACCCTACTTTCCATTTTCTTTTGCGGGCCGTGTGATCGAATACAGACATACCCCCGCTCACTTTTCCAGGGAAGACGCGGATGGAGGAGGAGGGAGGACGAGAGGTGACGAAAGGTAGGAGTTGGAGTTGGACGGGCTGCGTGGGAGCAGCGCAGCGGTGTCAGGAGATGGCAGCGGCCGGAGAGTCGTTGCCACCCACAGGATCCACAATCGAGCTGCTTGCGAGGCCGCCTGCGCAGCGGACCCAGATATCCGGCGTCGTTTCTTTCGCACCGTGGACCCCCAGAGGTCTGGACCTCGCCCCTGCGACGGGCTTTTCTTCCCGAGTCGTTTCTGGGCGGTCCAGGGGCCCGGTCAGGGCCCCCAAGAAGGCCGAAACGGGCGACCATTTTCCATGGTGATTCTTGCGCAGCGCGAGGAGGGCTGGGGAGGACGAGGGAGGAGGGGCGCCCCCCCTTGTCCGCGCAGGCGGGTGGCGCGGCGATGGCACCGCGGCGGGCCGCCGGGAGCTCCTCGAGGGCGCTCGCCGCGGCGGGCCTGGCGGCGGCGGGCGCGGCGCTGCTGCGGGACCGCGCGGCCAGTCGCCGTTTTCCGTGGCGTTTGTTTGTTTGGTTGTTTCATTTATCATGTACGACGTCCGCAGGCTACTATGCATAATCTGTTAGCCAGCGTGGACCCCAAACAGTCTGTTCGTACAATTTGGTGTAATCTATGTGGTGCAATCGATGTGGTGCAAAGTAGGTGGTGCAATCTATGTAATGCTTTCCACTTTGACCGTCTTGAAGCTGTCCTCTCCGCTGCTCGTGCAAACATCCCACCCTCCCACCCGCAACTTGGTCGCAAGACAAGACCGTGACGGTAGGTACCACATGGCACTTGGCCACGACATCGACGCCGACGACGGCAGCGACAACGACGACGACGGCGCCGCCGACACCGACTACGACGACACCGACGACGTCTCCAACGACTTCGACGACGACAACGACGACGACGACACCGACGACGACGACGCCGCCGACGACGACGGCGATGACGACGACGACGGCGATGACGACGACGACGACGCCGACGCCGACGACGCCGACGACGACGACGAAGACAACGACGACGACGACAACGACGTCGCCAACGAAGACGACGACGAGGGAGGAGGGAGGACGACGACGGCGACAACGACGACAACGACGACAACGACGAGGGAGGAGGGAGGACGGCGACGACGCGAACGACGAAGAAGGAGGAAGGACGGCGACGCCGACGACGACACCGACGAGGGAGGAGGGAAGACGACGACGACGACAACGACGACGACGACGACGACGGCGACGAAATAGGAGGGACGACGACGAGACGCCGACGACGGACGACGACGACAAGGGAGGAGGAGGAAGGACGACCACGGCGACAACGACGACGGAAACGACCACGACGCCAAAGAGGACGACGACGACGAACACGAGGAAAGACAGAGGACGACGTATGCGACGACGACGACGACGCGGGAGGAGGGAGGACGGCGACGACGACGACGACGACGACGCAAGAGCTCGCGCGCACGCTTTTGTTGAAAATCCGTGTTTCGAAACCTTGTGTTTTTGTAAATTGTTTGGGCACACGGTTTTGAATTCCTTCCGAAACCGATGGGTTTTGGAGGATTTCGGCGTACGCGCGCGACGACGCGCGCGTCTGCACTTCGTCCCATTTTTGCAGAGGGTTCTCGCGACGGCACACGCGCAAGGGCGTTCGACAGATTTCGACATGCGCGCGCGCGAAGCCCGTTGGGTAGCATTTTGTGAAAATCTAGAAGAACCTATGGTTATGTTAAGATTTCGCAAGAGCTCGCGATTTTTAGCAAATCATTGTTGCGAAACCTAGTGTTTTTGTATGTTTTCCGGAAGCTCGATTGCGAATTTTTTCCGGCACCGAAGGTTTTTGAAGGATTTTTGGAATGCGCGCGCGACGACGCGCGCGTGTGTGCACTTCGTCCAGTGTTCTGCAAGGGATTTGCGAACAAGTGTTATGTTAGAACAACAAATGTCACCGCATAGTGTTTTCCACAAGGGAACCTCAGGGGGGGATGCCGGCTGGCCTGGGACATTGTGATTTCATATTAAAAATGGACATGTGGTCAGAATCATACATGATTTACATACCCGACAGGGGGACCGATAACGCTGGGGGGGGGGCGGTAGAGTCTATTCTTTTTAGGAAGGGTAATTCACGTGGTGCAATCAGTGTGGTGCAGCATGTGTGGTGCAACGTATGTGGAGCAACGTCTGTGGTGCAGACCCATGATTTGACACATCCCACGCCCTTGCAAACATCCCACCCACCCACCCGCAACTTGATTTGCAAAACCTCTTAAGACCGACTACGACGACACCGACGACAACGAGTACGACGACACCGACGACGTCTCCGACGACTTCGACGACGACAACGACGCCGACGCCGACGACGACGAAGACGACGACGACGCCAACGCAGACGACGACGAGGGAGGAGGAAGGACGACGACGGCGACAACGACGACAACGACGACAACGACGAGGGAGGAGGGAGGACGGCGACGACGCGAAGGACGAAAAAGGAGGAAGGACGGCGACGCCGACGCCGACAACGACGAGGGAGGAGTGAAGACGACGACGACGACAACGACGACGACGACGACGGCGACGAAACAGGAGGGACGACGACGAGACGCCGACGACGGACGACGACGACGAGGGAGGAGGAGGAGGAAGGACCACCACGGCGACAACGACGACGGAAACGACCACGACGCCAAAGAGGACGACGACGACGAACACGAGGAAAGACAGAGGACGACGCAGGCGACGACCACGACGACGACGCAGGAGGAGGGAGGTCGGCGACGACGACGACGACCACGCAAGAGCTCGCGCGCGCACGCTTGTGTTGAAAGTCCGTATTGCGAAACCTTGTTTTTTTGTAGGTTTTTTGGACACGATTTTGAAATCCTTCCGAAACCGATGGGTTTTGAAGGTTTTCGGCATACGCGCGCGACGACGCGCGCGTCTGCACTTCGTCCCTTTTTTTGCAGAGGGTTCTCGCGACGGCACACGCGCAAGGGCGTTCGACAGATTTCGACATGCGCGCGCGCGAAGCCCGTTTGGTAACATTTTGTTAAAATCTAGAAGAACTTATGGTTCTGTTAAGATTTCGCAAGAGCTCGTGCGGAAGCTTTTTTAGCAAATCATTGTTGCGAAGCCCGGTGTTTTTGTATGCTTTTCGGAAACTCGGTTGCGAAATCCTTCCGGCACCGAAGGTTTTTGAAGGATTTCGGCATGCGCGCGCGACGACGCGCGCGTGTGCACTTCGTCCAGTTTTTTGCAAGGGATTTGCGAACAAGTGTTATGTTAGAACAAAAATGTCACCGCATAGTGTTTTTCACGAGGGAACCTCAGCGGGGGGAAACCCGGTTGGCCTGGGACATTGAGATTTCATATTTGAAATGGACATGTGGTCAGAATCGTATGTGATTTACATAGGACGCGGGGGGGCCGGTAACGCCAGGGGGGGGCGGTAGAGTCTATATCTTTTTTAGAAGGGAGAATTCACTTTGACTGTCTTGAAGCTGTCCTCTCCACTGCTCGTGCAAACATCCCACCCTCCCACCCGCAACTTGGTCGCAAGACCTCTTAAAAACGTGACGGTAAGTACCAAATGGCACTTGGCAACGACACCGACGCCGACGACGACAACGACAACGACAACGACGACGACGACGCCGACGACGACTACGACGACACCGCCGACGACGACGACGACGACTTCGACGACGACGACGACGACGACGACACCGACGACGACGACGACGAACACGCCGACGCCGACGACGACGACGATGACGACGCCGACGCCGACGACGACGCCGACGACGACGACGCCGACGACGACGACGCCGACGACGGCGACGAGGGAGGAAGGAGAATGACGACGACGACGAAGAGGACGACGAACGACGAACACGGCCATGACGAGGAAGGAGGGAGGACGGCGACGCCGACGACGACGACAACGAGGGAGGAGGGAGGACGACGACGCCAACGACGACGACGACGGCGACGAGGGAGGAGGGACGACGACGACGACGACGTTGATGGACGATGACGAGGGGGTGGAGAGCTCCGGCGAAGAAGACGTGAGTCGAGAGGTTCTGAACGCCGACGACGCCGACGACGACGAGGGAGGAGGGAGGACGACGACGGGAACGAGGACGACGACGGCGGCGACGACGCCAACGACGACCACGACGACGACGACGACGAAGGCGTCGAAGACGTCGACGACGAGGACGAGAAGGATTTCGGTATCCGCGCGCGGCGGCCGCGGGCATGTGCCCCGCATGGTGTTTTTTACAAGGGATTGTGGCCCTGGCAAGCGCGCGACCGATGTTAAAGGAGTTCGACTCGCGCGCACAAGTTGGTCGCATAACCGAAATATTGAAAAACCATTGTTTTTTTGGGGGTTCGGACAGCGCGCGGGTAGACATTTTGTTTTTGTGTTGCATTTTCTTGAATTTTCGAGGAAGTATGATACGATTCGTGTGATTTCATGAAGCTCGGTCTTGCAATGGTTCAAAACACAGTGTGTTTGGAAGGATTTCGACATGCGATCGCGGCGACCGCGCGCATGTGCCCCTCATTTGAATTTTTACAAGGGATTGTGGCCCTGGCAGGCGCACGACCTGATTGCTTTCAAACGAAACGGCCTGATTGCTCTCAACTAAGCGCCTGCGGCCCGGCCCGGCGGCGGCTATGACAATGCACGGGGTGCGCTTGGCGAGCTATTGCCGCTGCGAGCAGAAAGTCTCAGAGCGCGCAGCGCGTCGATCCTTGCCCCCGCTCTCGGACTGCGAAAACTGGCCTCGTCCTGAGAGCCGTGGTGGCTCCCATTACACCGCGGCTTTTGCGTATGTGCTCTCCTATCTTCCGCCATTGCCTCCCTCTTCCATCCGCGCGATTTACAGCGCGATCGGATCGTCGGACCTTTTCCTATCCTGCGCTACACTGCGCTGATAGCAGCCTTGTTTTCATGCGCCGTGGCAGGGGCGAGCTTGAACGCGGTGCCTCTCTACATGGTGCGTTCGCGGCGTTGCTGGTGAAAAAAAAAAAACTTGGCAGGCGCGCGACCGATGTTGAAGGCGTTCGACTCGCGCGCATAAGTTGCTCGCGTGACAGACATGTTGAAACAGCAGTTGGTTTCTGAGGATTCGGAAAGCGCGCGCGGGTAGACTTTCTGATATTGTTGCAGATTTTGTTCGAGGATGTATGGTGCAATTTGCGTGATTACATGAAGCTCGGTCTTGAAATTGTTGAAGCCACAATGTGTTTGTAATGATTTGGACCTGCGCGTGCGGCGGCCGCGCGCATGTGCCCCGCATTGGAATTTTTAACAAGGGATTGTGGCCTTGGCAGACACGCGACCTTCGTTGACTGGGAACGACGTGCGCGCAGAAGTTGCCAAAGAAACCCGATTGGGCAGGAATGTTGATGAAACGCCATGTGGTTTTTAAGGTTTCGGCAAGAGCGCGCGGGCAG